CGAATCTTTATACCTGATAAAACACTCTCTCTCTTGTTTTAAACAATACATAAAGAGTGAAATACTACTTANACTGATTAACGGACTTTGAGAAAGTCTAATCTGTTGTTTATATTCCCGCTTGCAAACTCTGTTTATAATCATAAATGTAATAGTTTACCTTTAAAAATATCTGGTGGAGCAGCAGTAGCAACCTCAGATTTCGTTGTTTTCTTCTATTTGAACAAATGAAATCATGTAACATGATTTTCAGCTAATTCAAAAAACATTGAATACTGAAGATAGTGCACCACAACACCAAATCGACGCTGAGAAGTACTAACACTATTTGTGACTTCGAAGTGACTATACTAGCCCCGTACAATCAAATTGTCCAATCGAAAGTCATTCCGTTGAGATTTGTTATTTTTTAGCACAACTAAAGTGGGGTGTGATAAAGAAATTAGAGTTGTTAAGAATTTCGTCGTACACAGGCATATTATTATTGATACTTGTTGATTCTTCTGTGCAAAATTGATTTATTTTTAACCGAGCTTTCGGCTTAAGCAGCCATTTTCAAGGTTGTAGTACACGTGATGATCTAATCAAACGTAGTTAACTGAAAGCGCTCGAGGAAACTGTACAATACGCGCGCGCTCTGTTTACAAATGAAAGACAGTATAAAAATATTATTAGGGCAAATGTGACAAATTAAATGGTTTTGATTAATTGGATGGAAGCAGTGTTAATAGCAAAAACAAATAAGATCAACATAATATCAAATAGGGACACTGGAAGAACTCTGCCCGATAGCTACATCCAATTAATCAAAACCATTTAATTTGTCACATTTGCCCTAATAATATTTTTATACTGTCTTTCATTTGTAAACAGAGCGCGCGCGTATTGTACAGTTTCCTCGAGCGCTTTCAGTTAACTACGTTTGATTAGATCATCACGTGTACTACAACCTTGAAAATGGCTGCTTAAGCCGAAAGCTCGGTTAAAAATAAATCAATTTTGCACAGAAGAATCAACAAGTATCAATAATGAAATTAGAGTTGTCTCTAGCTTGAAAAGACAAATTTAATGCAAACGTTTCGATCGCAACTGCGATCTTCTCTTCAGTGCAGTGGCAAAAGTGAAGTGTAATAGCAGCAATGTAAAGCGGTCTTGGAATACACTATGCACTTATGAAGTATTCAATATTTTCTGATGAAAAATCTGTATTCGATGAAAACAACAACATAGAAGCACTAATCAATAGTTAATCACAGGAGAAAAACCGCGCTGTAAATTTGATGTAATAATAATGTAAAAATGATGTATAAGTAATATTTACATGATTTTGGACACTTACATAATATTAACATCACATTTACACACTTTTTACAAACGATGTAAATTTAATGTAAATTATAAAATCCAAATTTACACGATATTCCCATGATTTTGGACACTTACAGGATATTTACAACCTTTTTAATTATTTTGACTGTGCAATAATTACCAGGAAGGGGGGAGGGGGGCGTAAAACCAGATTTCTTAAGCAGAAAATTTGTTAGAACCCCCCTCCGAAGCACAAGAAAATAGCTCTTACCCTCCCCCCCTGCTATTTTAGAATAACGTCTAACCTCCCCTCCCCCCAACTATTAACTTTAGTTATAAAACAAGCACAAGCGAGTCGAGTCAACTGTAGCAACCCAAAATTCACTAAAGACGAACCCAGATGCAAGAGGTGACTTACTCATCTGGATCTAAGTGTAAAGACAAAAACTTTCAGGAGGAGCTGACAAGCAAATGTGGTGACCTTGCTTCTTTCAAATAACTTTGTTGTTGGCAAAGGTTTTCAAGTTCCAAAAAAGGATTATGTAACGTTTTTATGGTCAAAAACGACTTTGATATTATTTGTGCTTGTTATGTCTAATAAATCATCAATATGTTTTTCAGCTTCCACATCTTCAAGTTATGTGACAAAATTGAAAAAATCAATAGTTGAAAAAAATTCATATCTTGGTCAAATCAACGAGTCTTTGAATTTAGATTTCCATTAGTCAGCCGCGTAGCGTGGACTTTTTATGCAAATGTCAGGGACCGCGACACTATATTTTGGATCTGGGGGTCTAACGAACGCCAAAGGCGGAAGTATTAAGGAAGTCTGGTCCTCTCCCAGAAAATTTTGAATTTTTTTTGTTCAAAATTTGAGAGGATTAACTTTTGGAAATGCGATTTCCAGCATTTTGAGAGACATCAAAAATTATTAACATTTTGAATAAAACTTAAGCCCCCCCCTTCCCCTCTGT